CCGGTGAGATTTGAACAGCCGAACTGCAGAACTGCAGTCAGCTGAAGTAGCCTGCAGTGCTGCATTTAACCACTGCGCCACCTTGGCACTGCTTGACACTAACCAGTGTCAAGCCTGGAAGCCATCTTTTACATTGGGCCTTCTGGCCTGCCACAATTTTGACTGTGGGAAAATGGGATGGGGGATTATGTGGAGTATGGCAGATACACACACACACACACACACACACACACAAAATCTAAATAACATTCCTTTCTCAGAGAGTCAAGGACACCTTGCCCTGCACCTGGAGTGGCATGACTGGGAGGCATCTCCAGTTGGGACGATGCCTGATTGGACCATGTGATGGACATGTGGGTGCTGGGCAGGGACCTAAACATTTACTTGAGTGGAGAAAACCTGGAAGCTTTCAGATTCGGGTTTTCCCAGATGTGCCAATATGACATCTCTAACAAAATGGAACTTTGAGGAAACTCAAAAGCCTTGGAGTCTTTTTTTGTTGGGGATGTTACTTGGAATCCTGACATTAACCCGAATGTGAAAGTTTCCAGGTTCCCCCACACCCCCAAGTGAAAGTTTAAGTCCCTGCCCAGCACCCACATGTCCATCACATGGTCCAATCAGGCACCATCCCAACTGGGATGCCTCTTCGTTGCCTCCCTGGAGCAACCCCCAGACCCAGCCCAGCACTCACATGTCCATCATATGACAACCAGCATGTTTGCATTAATAAGTAGAGTGTCCATGTCTTCTGTGGAGCCTTTTATGATCAGGAGATTTGTACTTGAGGGATTTTTGGTGCTCTCGCAGCTTGACGGTTTTCTTCCAGACATTTCATTACCCAGCTAGGTAACATCATCAGTGCTAGGTAAGGAGTGGAGTTTGCTCTCAGTTTAAACCACACTCCTCACTAGTACTGATGGTGTCAGCTTTTTGTAGTAATGAAACGTTTGCAAGAAAAAAAAACTCAAAGACCCTTTGCTTCAACCCTTAGCTGCAAAAATGACTACTTCTTTAACCAAAGCATTTTTTAAAAACTTTAAATACTGACTGAAATGGTAATTGAGCTGCAGCAGAATTGATTTTTTTTTAAAAAAAGAGAGCGAACTGCAGTGCTGCTGAGTCAGCCTGGTGCAGAGAAATCCCTTCCCAATTTGGCAGCCTAGCGTAGAGGGAGGTGAAGGGAAGAAATGAAAAGACAAGACAAATACTCACTGCAGCATCGAGCTCATCCAATAAAGCCACTTCTTCAGCTAACACCTGGACAGAGGAATCTGCATTCACCGTGAGAGAACCACTGCTCACTACACAATTGCAAAGAAATAGTGTAATCAGTCAGTGACAAAGGGCCCGAGTGATTAGAATTCCCTCCCTACAGAGATCTGCTTATTTCATTCCTTTTCCAGATAGGCGGTGATGGATGTTCTCTGGGTGACGCCTGGCTAATGATATGCATGAGGTGGAAAAGTACAATCAATGATGGTGGGAGGACCAGCCAGAGGTCAGAAAATGCAGACAGAAAATAACAAACCCAAGGCAAAACCACCAGCAAAATAGAGCAACCACAAATCCTCTAATTATTTAGAACTAGCCTATAACCTGGTGTTGCCAGGGGTATTGATTTATAGGGGGGAAAAAGTCTGGACCAAACGTAATTTCTAATGTTGGATTTTTCCCCTTACCAGAGGGAGTCCCCTTGTGGATCACTATGAAGCCGTTACCATGGCAATTCTACTGCATTGTACAGTAGAAGCCATTTTACGGCAGTACAGTAGAGGCCGTTTTAAAGCACAAGTGGTATTATTTGTCCTGACCTTGATGCTATTATCGTGATTAATCTTTGGAAGTTAATAGCTAGTCAATATTTAGAATAGAATAGAATAGAATAGAATAGAATATAGAATAACAGAGTTGGAAGGGACCTTGAAGGTCTAGTCCAACCCCCTGCTTAGGCAGGAAAACCTACACCACTTCAGACAAATGGTTATCCAATATCTTCTTAAAAACTTCCAGTGTTTGGAGCATTCACAACTTCTGGAGGCAAGTTGTTCCACTGATTGATTGTTCTAACTGTCAGGAAATTTCTCCTCAGTTCTAAGTTGCTTCTCTCCTTGATTAGTTTCCACCCATTGTTTCTTGTCCTGCTCTCGGGTGCTTTGGAGAATAGCTTGACTCCCTCTTCTTCGTGGAAACCCCTGAGATATTGGAACTCTGCTATCATGTCTCCCCTGGTCCTTCTTTTCATCAAACCAGACATACCCAAATGCTGCAATTGCTCTTTATCTATTTTAACCTCCAGTCCCCTAATCATCTGTGGCTCTTCTCTGCACTCTTTCTAGAGTCTCCGCATCTTTTTTTTTTGCATCTTTTACATTTGGAAGAAAGAGAACTAATTTAGGGAGGTGAATGTGTCCTTTCTCTTTTGCTGTGAACAATTGTTTTGCAAAATATGAGAATGTTTTCATTCGAAGAATAGTTTGTGCTCAGAAACACTTCCGCAGTTACTTTAGCTAATTGACATAAATCAGTGATGGTTCTCAAACCCAGTTTGCAGATCCTTGGGAAAACTGGACTGCAGGTATTTTCTGAAAGATACCCTCAGCTAAGATAATTTCCTATGCTTTCACCAGCCATCATTTTCACACGCACCAAAGTATTTTTTGGAGGAGCCTTCCTCATCAAAGACGGTTACAACGCCAGGTCTCAGGACCTGTAGGGTGGGAACATGAGCAGCCAAGATGCCAAAGGATCCACTTAAGGTGGGAACATCCACCTGTTTCACAACGGCAGCATTGTAGAAAACCTGTAGGGAAAAAATGGGAAAGAAAACACAGGTAGTTTTCAACTTACAACAGCTTATTTAGTGACAGTTCAAAGTTACAACTTAGCACTGAAAAAAGTGATTTGTGACCATTTTTCACACATGATCATTTCAGCATCCCCATGGTCACACGACCCAAATTCAGATGCTCAGGAACTGACTCACCTTTATGACCGGTGTAGTGTCCTGGGGTCATGTGATCCCCTTTTGGGATCGTCTTACAAAGTCAATGGGAAAACTAGATTCACTTAACAACCGTGTTACTAATTTAACAATTGTAGTGATTCACTTAACAACTCTGGCAAGAAAGCTCATAAAATGGGAAAACATTCACATAACAATAATTGTGAGCTCAATTGTGGTCGTAAGTCAAGAACTACCTGTGAAGTTATATTTCCCACAAACCTGAAAAGGAGAAAAAGCCCTGCACCAGGATTTTTTTTAAAATAGAAAGCAAAAAGAGAAGAGATGGAGCTGATAATTATTTTTCTTAATTCATATGAAGGATACTTTTATGCTGCCCAGAGTTACTGACAATCAAATGATATATAAATTAAAATAATAATTATTATTTCTTTGGGTACACAACCCATGGCCACCAGCAATTTGAATCTATGTCCTCCAGCTCCAATCCAGAAAGCCCAATCCAGATAGTCCTCGAGTTATGACTAGAATGGAGACCCCAATTTCAATTGCTAAGCCAAGGCGGCTGTTAAGTGAGTCATGCCCAATTTCAAAGGCTTTTTCCCCCATGGGTTATTAAGCGGATCATGTAGTTGTTAAGCGAATCCAGCCTCTTCCTCCGTCTACATTACCTGCTTGCATCTCGATCTGGTTAACCCTGAACTCTGCCCCATGTTCACACAACAGACTAAACCCGGGTTAACAAAACACGCGAGCTTCACGGACCGTTCCGACGACGACCCAGCAGCGAGTTCGGACACTGCCGCCCCGAGGCCCACATGCCGGCCTCAGTTCGGTTGCCATGACAATACCTGAGAGGGCGAGGCGAAGGTGAAGGCCAGCTGTGCAGGGCCTGTAGCAGCTGCCGCCGCTTCGGCATAATGACGGGACGGGGACCGGGATCCCAACAGCAAAGCGCGGGCGAGAAAACGACCGACGGGGAACATGGCGAAGCCAAGGGCAGAGAGGAGGAGAAGCAGAGAGGTCGACCGGCAACCAGGCCTGGCCTACAACTCCCAGCAGGCTCCGCGCGGGAAAAAAAAGGGGGGGTTGCCGCGGGGCATGACGGGAAGCACGGCGACCGCAAGGTACTCGTTTGTGAAATTTTCCCAAGAAGCACCGCGGCATAAACGCCACCCGCTCCCAAAGGAAAACTTTGCTCAATGCCGAACTGCATTTCCCAGCAGATCATAGCAACAGTCTGATACGTTGCTTCTGACAAGGCCCCGCCCCCTTTCCCGTGATGCATGGGGAAATTGTCCAATAGCCATTGAGGCTCGCTCAGGCGGCGGTGCTACGTGGGAACTGTAGTCCCGATTTTTGTGGTTCCGAGTCGACCGATCTCTTTTATTTAGCCCTATGCGGATTTTCCTCTCCTTATTTTAGGTGTAAGATATTCGGGTTCCGCTTTTGACTACCTCCATTCACGGCTCCAAGTACAAGGCAATTCCCGTTAGAAATCGGGAAATTGTGCCTACTTCCCCAGTTGAGGTAAAGAACCGGAAGTTGGTCCGATTTGCACTGCGTTCCCCCGGCAACACTTCCGGTCCGGCCCGCTTTTCCTCAGATTCGGCGTTTGCCGATCCGAATGGCGGCGACTGGCTTCGTTTGGCCGCTGGCGCTTTGGATGGTGGTAGTCGCAGCGGCGGCGCCGACGAACACGGATAAGACGGAACCCGTCGAGACCGCGTCTCTCCCTCCTTCCCTGCCGCCGAAAGAGAAAAGCCTCGAGAGTGCCCTCCGGCCCGCTTCCACCGCCACAACCACGACGACATCCGGGTCCCCGTCATCGGGGCTGTCGGGATTGGGCCTCCCGGCCCTTCACCGCGCACTCTACGTCGTGGCCGGCCTGTTGGGCATCGGCCTCCTCTACTACCTCGGAGGCCGCACGTTTCGGTGAGGAAGGCCGGGGCGCTCCTACGGGTGGGGTGGGTCTAGATGATCTCTAGGGATGCCAATCCCATTTGGCCGCCTTTTATAGGCTACGGGAGGAAAGACCTGCTTCAATCGGGCGTCCTCCGCAAGTTGTGATCTTCATCTTCCACCCAGCCCGTCAGTTGGCATGCTGGCTGGAGTGGATAGAGGCAGTAGTCTCAGAGCATCTGAAGAGTACGAACTGAGAGTAAGCTTGCTCTCTTTTAGTCAGTTCCTAATAGAGATCTCCTTAGAGCAGTGGTCTCCAACCTTGGCAACTTTAAGACTTGTGGACTTCAACTCCCTCAGCTGGCTGAGGAACTCTGGG